AATATAATAATAATATTTAAAAAAATTTAATCTTTAAAACTAATAATTTTTTTAAAATTAATTAGGACCAATTAGGATCAATTAGAACTTTTACCAACCCTATCCATCACACCCATATTGGTCTCTTAGAGCTGACCCATACAATTTTACTTTTATAGATTTCATCAAAAACATCATTCCTATAGCTCTTCCTAAATTACTTGACTTCTTTACAAAATCCTCATCACTTATGTCTAAAATTTTATCCCCTTTCTACAACTTTATTTTTAATCAAATTTATGAAATTGTTTGGAAAACCAGATGCGACACTACTATAACCAAAGAACGATCTCTTAACATCTCGCAATATAGTAAAAAACTCAATTATAGTTCATCACATTATTTTACTATCAATAGTTTTTCTAACACTTTTTCTTCCAATCATATTCTAAAATATGATCATATTTCTCTAATGACTAAATCTTACGTATATGTACAAAAATGGTCTGCAGTAATAACTATTTGTCAAACGTTTTTCTCATTTTAGTTGGGTGGCAATAGTAATTCTACTAATGATTATTGCTAGAGTCTAATGGGACAACCAGTTGAACTGATTGGAGTTAGTTCACTAATAAGGATAATTAAGCAGCATTTTTATTTATTCTATTTTTGTACCTTTTTTATTTGGGATTTTCATGTTTATTTTAACTGATTATGAATTTTATTAATAAATAAATACATTACTGTGTCTTTTAAAAAAAAAGCTGATCCAAAATTAATGAATGTTAACTCATTAGATCCGTCTAGTTGCAAAGAAATGAATAGTAGTAGTTTCATATGAATCAAGCTGTATTGACATAAATTATATTTTTATTTATTAGAATTTTTTTCTATATGAAAAATCATATGATATAACGTCATTTTGATCATTTTGACTTTTTATTTCAACTTTTACCTCCAAAGTTGAAATATTTTGACTTTTGGGTTTTCATTTCAACTTTATATATAGTTATAATTAATCGAAAATCAGTAAAATAAAATTTCTATGATCTTATTAATATTTTTTTTGCATTTTATATAATTTATTTATATTATAATTAGAGTTCTGAACAGATCATGTCAGGTTGGGTTAAAGGTGCAATCTGGTCAATCTGTATTATTTGAATTGTTATTCAATCAAAAGTTTTTAGTCTGAATGTAAATTCTTATCTGTTCAAAAAACCCATTCTCAGATATTATACAAATGATCCAGATGATCCGAATATTAACAAATAATCTGCAATCTATTCAAATTTTGATCAGATTTATATGCACTCAGAAAATTGTGTTACATTTATTAGCCAATTAAAACTTTTAATACAAAAAAAATATAAATTTGTCTTTGTAAGCAAAAAAATGGTATTTTTATTAATCGTTGCTATTATTTGGATGGTGAATACTGTTTAAAATATTAAAATTTCTTTTCAAAAACATTAACCTTTTAAAAAACTCTGAACTAATATGTGTTCTTTTAGGTCTTATTAAATTTTCGCAGTCCAAAAACAACCTTTTATTTGGAGTTGAAGTGGCTGAAACTGAAAGATAAATATGCGCTAATTCACTAATTATTGAAAACTTTTCTTTGTTAATTCTTTACTAAGAAAAAGAGTTTGAATTAAATGGAATTTGTGAAACTGCAAGATATTCATCAAGTTCATTTTCATTATTATTAGGTGATAGATGATTAAAAAAATTAAAAAAGGTTGATTGATATAATATAGGAGAGGGTGTAGAACCAAGAAAAGGAGTAGTAGTTAAACCAGATGAAGTTGATGAAGGTTAAGTATATAATGACATACTAAATTTCATTTCATTATATTTGTCTTGTAAAGAATATTGGGTTGGTCTTATTTCATCAGATGCAAAATCAAGTTTTTTGATTTGAGGGTCAAGAATAGATGGTAGATATGATATCATGCGATCTTTTTTCCAATAAAAAAGCATTGCATAATATAAAGATATTCTTACTTCTTTTAAAACTTCCAATGTCTACATTGGCCTATCTAAATTAATTTTATTATTATTATTATTAGTATTATCTGAATTGTCTTAATTCTCATCCTATACAAAAATATCTTCAATCTCCTCAATATTAATATTTATTGTATTTGATTCAGATTTGGGCTTGAGATTGTTAAAAATTTTAGCTATTAAAGGTTTCATTATACTATGAGTAGAATAATTACTACCTTTAAGATATCTGGTTGCTTCCTCAAAAGTTCTTAAAATTGGAATCAAATCATGAAGTAAGTCTTATTCATTATTTGTTAACATTATTTTAGATAGCTATTAAGAATCCTTTTTAGAATCCTGATCAACTTTTTCAGCCAAATTAGCTTAAATGTACGAATATAACCTTTTAATTCTAAAAGTTAGATACATCGGCAATAACATATCTCAAGTATTTTGCAGTTTTTTTAGCAGACTAATTAATAAATAAATATTTTTTTAATTAATTTAATTAACGAAATAAAAAATTTATATTTTTACTTACTATAGGTATTCTTGAAGGTTTGGAATTCTAATTAGAATATTTATTAATAAATTATTTTTATATTTAATGATTTAAATATAATATAAAATAATTAAAAAAAATATTTATATATTAGTAAATAAATTATTAATATTGGTAGTAAAATTTTTTTTTTTTTTGTAAATATTAAGATCAGAAAAAAAACAATTATTTTTATTTAAAAAAAAATTAAATTAATTGATTATATATAAAAAAACAAATTATACATTTTTTTTACTATTTTAAAAACAAAAAAAATTCTTTTTTTAAAAAAAATAAATAAAAAACAATTATAAAAAAGTTTTTTTTTTAAAATTAAAAAAAATATTAAAAATATAAATTATATATTAAATATAATCTCATTTAAATTTGTTGATCGCGTAAATTGTTTTTGAATTTTTTCAAGACACTCTGATTGTTTTGGTTTCATAAAAAATTAATGAGACGTTTAATACAGTTAACCAATAATTTGATAGGTTTTAAACCTTTTCCAATCACAAGTTTGTAAGATATGAGTAACACATGGCTGCTACATTATATTATTTATCACTAATTCTAAATCTTGAATAACTTTTCGCATATTTGATTGAACCATTATCTGTTATTACTATAAAACTTTATCACGAAGTCTCTATTCATTCAATACTGTAAATAATGTATCTCCAATATGATCAGCTGTATGAGAATAAGAAATATATTGAACTGAAAGAACAATTTTATGAAGTTGAAATTCTAGATCAAAATAGGAACTTATTATTTCCAAAAAACCTTGGTGATTTCATTCTGTTCAAAGATTACAAGTTAAAGATACTGCATTAGCAACTTTCTCTACTTTTTTTATAATTAGTGGTCTTAAATAATTATATACCTGATGAATAATTTTTTTAATATACAGTGAGACCTCTCTAAATGAACTCTTCCTAAATGCACGCATATATATTTTTTCTATAAATGCATATTCCACACAGCCCTAAGTATATAAAGATCATACAAAATTTCTCTTTTTAAATGCACACCCTTCTTAAATGCACATTTTTTCAAATTTTCACTATGGTTCTAAGGGAGGTGTATTTAGAGAGGTCTCACTGTATTTTGGATTTTGAATTTGAAATCTTGGATCCAATTGAGAAATTAATTTTTTAAATACCGGACTTTGAATAATAGTAAGTGGTAGAGAATCACATAAAATCCAATTTGCAAAATACTGACACAATTCAAGTTGACGTGATTCTTGATGATAGGTTTTTCTGATAAACATTTTCATGATATCTTGATTCTGATTTATTTGCTTTTAATATATTTAAATAAATCATTAGCATGATATTTATAAAATTAATATAATTAAATTTTATAAAAATTACTTACAGGATTAACTTCTTGCTTAGCTTGTTCAGTTATTCTATAATTATTTGTAAGATGAATAGCACAATTACCAGTAGTTGTATCAGTTTTATAAGTTTTTTTACATTTTTTTCCATCTACTATTTCTACTTGACAAACTGCATATCTTACTCCATCTTTATAGTTAGATTTAAAATATTTTCAAATTTAACTTTTAACTTTACTTTCTTCACAGATTTCATTTAATTTAATTTTTTTTTGGTTTGTACCTTGTTCTAATTTTGTGTCACTATTTTTTATATGATTTTTCAACTATTATTACTATTGGTTCAATATATAAAAAAAAAATGAAACATGACTTTACAATAAATTTACCAATTATAGTTTTAATTAGCCAATCATATTAAACAGATTTATACGAATTATCCAATAATAATCTATTTAAATTTTCATAATCCGTATATTATTCTATCAAAAAAATTATAATCTGTATTGCATTTAAATCCAGACTTTGATCAGATGACCGGATATCAGCTAAACGGATCACACCTCTAGATCAGGTCAAACATAAAATTGACCTGAATTAAATATACATTTGACCTGATTCTGACCTGACCTGACCTGTCTAAAAAAGAAAACTAAACAATTATTAATTTTGTTTAATATTTTTTTAAAAAAATATAAAAAAATATCAGAATTTAAAATTACAAGTTGTGATAAATCTGCAAATTTGATGACTGTTAATACAATTATAAATAACATTTATAACTTTACAATTATTAATCCAATTATGATAAAATTTTATATGCATATATTTTTGAATCTGCTGAACAACTTTACTTATGGACCAAAGTTGATTTTCTTTGACCAAAATACTTAAATTGCTCTTTGAATCACTGTACAGATAAAAAATAAAAATAAAAAAATCTATAAGATAATACAATTATGAAACATGTGTACTTTACAACCATTAATCCAATCATAATAAGATTTTATATACACATATATTCAAACCTATTGAACAACTTTACTTATGTAACCAAAGTTGATTTCTTTGACCAAAATACTTAAATTGCTCTTTGAAGTCACTGTACAAATAAAAAATAAAAATAATAAAATTCAAGAGATAATACAATTATGAAAAATATGCATAACTTTACAATCATTAATCCAATCATAATAAAATTTTATATGCACATATTTTCAAACCTGCTAAATAACTTTACATACACAACCAAAGTTGATTTTCTTTGACTATAATACTTAAATTGCTCTTTGAAGTCACTGTACAGATAAAAAATAAAATAAAAAATTCGTGAGATAATATAAATATGAAAATGTACATAACTTTATAACTATTGATCCAATTATAATAAACCTTTATATGCATATATTATCAAACTCACTGAACAACTTTACTTATATGACTAAAGTTGATTTCCTTTGACACAAATGCTTAAATTGCTGTTTAAAGTCACTAAACGAATAAAAATAATAAAATATTTCATGAGATAATACAATCATAAAACATTCATAACTTTATAACTATTAATCCAATTATAATAAAAATTTATATACACATATTTTTGAATCCACTGAATAACTTTACTTATGCGACAAAAGTTGATTTTTTTTGACCAAATTAATCAATTATCTCTTTGAATTAATTGAATAGATAAAAAAAATTTAAAATTAAATTGTTGAACAATGTAATTGCAAAAATGTTTATAATTTAAAATTTAACTTTTTGATTA